TTCTTTACATATCTTAAAAGTCACATACAGAATATGAAAGCAAGGCCAGGTAATGAAGGATGAATACAAAAGTAGGGTATAGTCCTAGAAGAAGGGTCATAGGAATACTAAGGTTCAGAATGAGCTGATGCTGGCAAGAAAAGATAAGGTAGGGAGGAAGGGGGAGTTTGTTTGTTTGTTTGTTAGCTATTTGGGGGAAATGCTGGGGATCAAAGAAGAAACAGGAGAATGATCTCTGGACCAGAAAGGACAAAATGAAAATGAATATTAGGAAGTTAATATCCAATATAAGACTTGGAGGCAGCTAGATGGTTCAGTAGATAGAGCGCTCAGCCTGGCATCAATAAGACCTGAGTTCAAATTTGGCCTTAGACACTTAGTAAATGTGTGACCCTGCCAAGTCACTGAACCTAGTTTGCCTCAGTTCTCTCTTCTGTAAAATAAGCTAGAGAAGAAAATTGTGGACCACTACAGTATCTTTCCAAGAAAACCCCAGCTGGGGTCACAAGAAATCAGACACAATTGAAAAAAGACTGAACAACAACAATCCAAGATAAGAATAGAAATAGTAGCAGAATACCCACCAACCTTTGATGAGTCCAAGACAACCAAGTCTAGTTAATCACATTTCACGGTCCTGAAAAAACTGATATATGAGTACACAGAACTATTGCCAATAAGCTTTAAAATATTTTTTTTCCTATTCTTTTGTTTGGAGAATAGGAAAAGTGTTGCAAGATTGGAGAAGGGCAAATGTTGCTCCAGTTCTGAAAACGGGGAGTAATTGGAGCCTTCAAATTTTGATTGTTCATTAAAGTTAGAACAACTTATTAATTTTTTAAATATTTTAGGCAATTGGGGTTAAGTGACTTGCCCAAGGTCACACAGCTAGTAAGTGTCAAGAGTTTGGTCTGAGGTCAGATTTGAACTCAGGTCCTCCTGACTTCAGGGCCAGTGCTCTATCCACTGCGCCACCTACCTGCCCCAGAACAACTTATTGAAAGGATGGTTAGTGAATACCTCAAAAAGGAAGAGATTATTATAAAAATTCAACATGGCTTCATCAAGAATAGATAATGCCAAAATGTATTTCCTTTTGTGACATGGTTATTAAACTGATAGATCAAAGGAAGCTGTAAATATCATTTTTACCTGATTATTAGGTTTTAATTTAATTGAATTGAATTTAAGCATTTGACAAAATTTCTCCTGCGGCTGTAATGCCTTGCTCTACTCACTCTTCTTCTATTACTATAGAAATAAGGGAGGAAATGGAAATCTCTAAGTTTGACAACCTATTGGAGGAAACCAAAAGGGAAGAGACATAGTTCTCCATCACCTAAAACTTAATTACTATGAGATACAGGGGACTCGAAGGAAATAGAGGGACAGAGAGGCCAATATTATTAAACATTAAACCATTTATGATTAATCTTTAATTAAATTCATTTATGATTTTGTTCCTTAGTTCTTGATTCTATGCCTATAAGTAAAACAAACAAACAAACAAAACCACCAAGTACGTCTATCTACACTGCCATCAAGCCTCCAGCTACAGGCCCTCTACTGGCCAGCAAAACTCCCAAATGTGGCCAAAAATAGATGATTAGAAAAAGTTTAACAAAATAAAAATACAGTACCATATAGATAATGTTAACTTGTAGTTTCCTAAGTCACTGTGCGGCTTGTAGGGATCCATTTCTATTTGAGTTTTGTACCACTGGTCTACACCACTAAGCAATGGTCATATCACTGGGCTTAGGAACAAATATAACATTCAGGGAAGAGGTGGAGTTTCCCACTGGGTTCAGGGTGTAGAGCCATTCTGACTGAGTAACTCCACACTAATTAATGAAATGAGCAAGCTGCCTATAAAGAGGCAGAGTTATACGAAAAAGGTTTCCCCAAAGTTTCCTGTGATTTGGGGTAAGGTACCAATCTTTTTTTGCTGGTCCACTGGCAGGGTGAGTGTAGTACTGCCCCATGCTTGCTCCTTTTGGTGAACAGACTTAGGTCAATGCCTAGTAGCACCATCTGGTAATTAAACTATTTTTGTGGAAAATATAGATTTATACCACACAATAGAACAACTCAATAGATTTGAAACTATCCAGACCCCAAGATTATTCATTAATGGTTTAATGTTAATTTACAAAGTGGTCTCCAATAGATCACATGAGGATCTGTGCTATTCAACATTTTTATTAATGACTTGAATAAAAGTAGGGATAAGATGCTTACTGTCTTTGTAGATGCTAGAAAGCTTGAATGGTTAGCTAACATAATGGATGGCAGATTCAGAATTCAAGAAGACCTGGACAGATTAGAGCATTAAGTCAAATTTAGTGGGATGAAATTTAGTGGGGATCACTATAAAATCCTACCCTTGAGTAGAAAGAATCAATTTCACACAAACAAAAGGTAAAGGAGGCTCGGCTAGATAGTAGGTCATCATCGCTTTTCAGGCATGCTGATTTGTATACAGACGTACATTGAATTAGATGGCCTCTGAGGTTCTTTCAGCCCAGAGATTCTGTGATGTACTTAGCCCAGTTATATGACTCCCTTCAGAAGCAGGAGCAGGGAATGTGGATGGTTGAGGAGTAGTAGCATTTGAAGTAGCAAGAAATTCAGGGGTACAAAGAAATTCAAGGGCACATAGATGACCTGGTTAATATCACTGAACTGGTCAAGACTGGCAACGGAGGAAAGTAGATCAGAAATGATGGATTGGGAGAACAGAGAGGATTGGAAGAACTGGAGCTAACAATGAGGGTGAAGAATAGATTCAGGAGAAGTGAGGAAGAGGTAAAAATGGAAGAGCTGGGAATTCTGATCAGAGAAGAGAATTTCAGAGTTCAAGATAATAGAGGCAGCACAATTTCAGGTGATATTGACATCTAATTATGATAAGCCTTGTGGGTACCTGAGGTGGAATGAACACAAAGATCATAAGAGTTGATGAGGAAGGACAGCTGGGTGGCGCAGTGGATATAGCACTGGCCCTGGAGTCAGGATGACCTGAGTTCAAATCCAATCTCAGACACATAACACTTACTAGCTGTGTGACTCTGGGCAAGTCACTTAACCTCAATTGCCCTCACACACACACACACACACACACACACACACACACATACACACACACACACACACACACAAAGAGTTGATGAGAATGGTGAACTGGAATGCCAGCGTTTTCAAGGGGACTTCAATGCATGTACTGAAATACCTACATTCTGAGTGTAGGGGTTGGAATAGAGAAGATTGTTAGTCAGGTACACAACATGTACATAGTTAGGTAAATGCAAAATACATAAAATAAATACCAAATTACTTGTAAATGGAGTAATGCTAACAATTTTAGGGATTGTGAAGTAAAGGTGTTGTGTAAGAGACAGCATTTGAGCTGAGTATCGAATGGCGCAAGAGATTTCTAGAGAGTAAGGGAGAAGAGTAACACGTGGGAAACAAGGTCTTGTACAGGAAACAGTAAGTAGGTCAGTTTGCTTAGATTGAACACAAAAGATTTTAGATAGGATTATGGGAAATCAGTCTAGAATGGGAAGCCAGAACCAAATTGTGAAATTGTGTAAATGCCAAAAGAGATTGTATTTTATCCTAGAGGCAATAGAAAATCACTGGAACATCTTGAGTAGGAATGTGATATGCCTAGGCCTTATTTTAGGAACATCAATTTAGCAACTATGTGGAGGCTATATGGTGAAAGGGAGAGATGACAGGCAAGGAGATCAATAAGGAGACTATTGCAATCACCCAGGCAAGAGGTAGTAAGGTCTTAAGCTACAATTTTGACTGTGTGAGTTGAGAGAATGGACAGATGTGAGAGATATTATAGAAGTTGAATCAACAAGACTTAGCAACTAATTGGATATGATGGGTGGGGGAGAGAAAAAAGTCAAGAATGACTCCAAGTTTGTGAACATGGGTGACTAGAAAGATGGTGGTGATTGAAATTAAAAGTCATTGGAAATGGACAATGTGTTAGACCCAAGATAGGAGAGTAGGCTAGATTGCCTTTGGCAAATCCCCACTCTTCTCCTTGAAACAGAACTCATTTTTGTAATTTCAATATTTTCTTGGTAATGTATGACTGCAAGTCATAGAACAATATAGGGTCCAAAGAATTGAAATTGAAGATCATCCAAAGGGCAATGGGGAGATACATGTTGGGTATGATCAGGCTATACCATATCACAAACAAGAATTTATGAAGGAGAAGCAGACTAAAGGATGTCAATGCATAAGTGAAAAGGGTTGGTCCCACAGTGAGAACAAGAGATAAGCTCATGGGTAACCTTTGTGTTCAATGTCAAGAGAAAGTGAAAAAGTTCTTCATCGCGTTGGTTGGATCCACTGTGGCAAACTTAATGAAGGATTCAAACAAGAGCCACACAGAATGGGCAGGCATGAATTAGTTATGGGCTGCATTGTTGGGGGGAATAATCACATAGATGATATCATAGATCCATTGGAGGAGGATGGTGATGGTGATGATAATGGTAATGTTGATGATGATGACACTGAGGATGATAATTCTTTTTTGTTGTTGATCCCACAAGGTAGAATTAGGACCACTGGGTGGAAGTTGCATAGAGTCAGATTTTAGATCAGCTAAGGGAAAATTTTTCCCATAAGTAAAGCCATATAACAGTAAAATAAACTGTCAAGATAATAAGTTATCCATCACTGGATGTCTTCAAATGATACCATTAACCAACTATTTGACCATAAATAAACTTCAGTTCTCCAGGCTCTCAGTTTTCCCATTACTAAGACAAAGGAATTTGATTATGTGATCGTTAAAGTGCCTTCTTGTTTTAAAATTCCATGATTCTATGTACTTACTCTATGTGCAAGTTTTTTTTTTTAAGGTAAACTAATAAGTATGAGGAATTTCACTAAAATATAATTCTAGAAGTGGGGGTTGACAGCAATAAATTGGCATTGTAAAAGCTGTAGTGTTCTGTGCTATGTACCTGTATGTAGGCCAATCCGAAGCTTCAGTTTTTCCTCTGGCATGTGTTCAATCTTGAAATGGACAATGGCACTGAGGAAGTACAGTGACATTGTAGCAATTTCCTCCACGTGTCGGATTCCATTGCGGAGGGGTAGACCACTTGCAACCATGTAGGCATCACCAATGGTTTCAACCTGAAAATGGGAGTTTAACAACTTTAATAGCACAATCCCACTCCTACAAGGGGGAAATTAGAAATTGAATGATGCCCTCCCCAAAAAAAGTATTTCTTCCCTTCTCTTGGAATAATTGAGCTAGAAGGGATGTTGGATATCTTCTAATCCAACCTATTTATCTTATATATAGGCAAAGTCAGTTCTCAATCAGGGAAGTTATTTGCTCAAAGTCATAGGGCCAGTCTGTATCCTCCCTGCCTATCTAGATCTTACCCTTTCTTCCACATCCTATTCATAACTTAGTTCTGTCATGAAACTTTTCCTGGCCATCCATATGTTTAGTCATCTTTGTCTCTTTCCTTCATTATATCTATACTAATTCTTTTTTTTTTCAATTCAAGAGACATGTATCAAGTGCTTATTAACTTTCAAGGCACTGTGCCAAGTGATGGGGATATAATGATGAAAATGACACTATTCCTATCGTCAAAGAGTTTATACTTTAGCAGATGATGTAGAACATATACATCAATAATAATGTTATTAAATGAGTGAGTAAGAGAGGTCAAATAGAATCTAAGAGACTGAAGGAATCATTTTGAACTGGGAAGATTAGGAAAGATTTTGTGAAGGAAATGTATCTGAGGTAGGCTTTTACTGACAGAAAGGATGTCAGTGACTGGTGATGAGAGTGGGAGCCAATATATTCTAGGAGGTAGGGAACAGAATGAATAAAGGCACATATGGCATCAGGGAACACTGAGCAGTTTGGCTGAAGTATCGAATGGATACTGAGGATTGCAATGAAAGTGTTGGAAAGGTATGTTTGGGTCAAATCGTTGAGGACCTTGAATGCAAGGTTAAATAGTCTGCATTTCATTTAATATTTAATAGATAATGAGAATCAATGGAGGATTTTGATCAGATGAATGACATGATTAGACTTGTGTATCAAAGAGACTACTTAGGCAGCAGCATAAAAGGTTGACAATAAATGACATACAACCCCTTCTTTATGTTTTATGTGGGCTGTCATATGGAATGGGTAGCAAATTACACAGGGTGGCTCTAATGGACAAACCTAGGACTAATGAGGTAGAAATTACATGGAGAAGATGTAGGTTCAAAATATGAAAGAATTTCCTAATGATTAGAGGAGTTCCAAAATGAAATGAGAACATTGCCTTGTAAAGGTAATGAGTTCCCTTGTCAATGAAGGCATCTAATCAAAGGGTCCAATAGCCACTTGGCAGTGATTTGATAGCTGAGATTCCGACACTGTGTATGAGGCACTCTGTATGTCTTCTAAGGTATCTTTCAGCTCTGATATTTTTTTAGTTAATCTTAGGTCCTCAACTAAAGTGTAAACTCTTTCAGGGCAGGCACCTTGTCTATTGTTTGTATCCCTAGGGGTGCCTGGTACAAGGCTGAATATATCTTATCTGTTCAGTGAATACTTGGTAAATTTTGTTCTACTTTCTTGTTTAATTGAATCATTAAGACTATTCCTCCCTCCTCATCCCCCACCCCATGAAAAGTGCTCACTTACTGCTACAGTTTTGAGTTGAATTAAAACTTCATATTGGCTTTAACTCAAAAAAGAAAAGAAAAAAAAGGCCAAACTTGTTTTTTCTTCCTATAATTTTTTTTAAGTTTGGTATTCTTTATTTAAAAAGTACCTCAGAGAAAAGCCTCACACCTTCTTTGGAAGGACATTCTCTCTTTAGAGTAGATAGCCTTCCCATTTGTGACTTGGTAAGAGACCCTTCAAAAATAAGTCAGCCTAAGTGGTAGCACACTCCACAGGTCATGTTACAGTTACAAACATACATACATGCACATTGAGAATGTGGATTATTGCCAATTATCTGCACAGGGGTTATATGCTTTGCAGATTTTTAAAGTTGAGTTTTAAATCCCAGGTTGGCCTTCCTTTGTCACTTAGCACCTTTTCTGGCAGCATCAATCTTTAAGCAAAAGTTTAAGATGGATACACTCATATTCCTTGTTCTGTTCCTCCCCCCACCCATTTTGTATTCTCTCTCCCCAACTCCTCAGGTGCTTTGTACCTTTAATACTCTCCCTCACTCCCTTACAGAAATTTGCTTCCTGGTTCTTCATCCATACCAAAAGTTTCCTTGACTAATAACAACTTAGAATGGGATCCCTCCCAGGAAAATTTGCAATAACCCAATCAAAGCCTTAATATAAAAGGATGAGCTTTAATGGGAGGGAGGGTTTGGAGTAGGAAGGGAAGCAAGACAAACTGAATGTGAACTTCAGATATACAAGGAAGAAAATCACTTAATCTGGGGTGCAAAAGCCAGTTGGTTAATAGGCCATCTCTCCCATCAACTGATGTATGCTTCAGGGAATGCAAGCTGATTTTAATATTATTCCAAGCAAAATATGATCAGAAAGATAAATCCAATAAATTAGAAATCACAACAGTATTTTTCACAGTCAGATAAAAATGATCTGAGGGAACAATGCTGTCTTAGTTTATTTTCATTTGCATAGATAATAGGGAGTCAATAGTTAAGAATGTTTAAAGGGGTACATCCTTAAGCTCTGGAGTCACTATAATAGATGTCAGCAATATTTCATATCCTCCTACAGACAGAATACTGTTCTGATGAGATCACTAATCTGTGCTAGGGTTCTTCAACTAGTTCCAATGTCGGCATGCTCAAAAGAATAGGGCAGGGCCCAGAACTTGCAGTCAATAATGTAGTCCTTGTTTGTGATACAGATTCACTACTTCCACTATCCTTCCTTAGTCTCCATGTCTAAGATGTCTGGCAATTTTCAGTATGGCCTGGCACACAATGTTTTCCCAATGATCCACACAACACAAGAGAAGCACACAAACACAGGTATGGAAGGAAAGTCACTCCCAAACACCAGACTCCTGCAATCACACTACTCCAACACAAAGAAGTATCATCTGGCTCATTCCTTCTACCTCTTTCCAATTCAACCAGTTCTGCTACCTGGAATACAGGCAGCTCTCGCTTTACATAAGTGAACCATTCTGGAGACCTCAACACAAAGAAATTTTTATGTGATGCAAATTTTCCCCTACCCACCCACTCCACTTAGCCTATATAACAAAAGCATACACAAAATACCTTTACGCAAGTCATAAAATATACTGAAATGTAGATATAGTAAATATTGTACCATGATAATAAACAGAATTATAAAATGAAAGGTAAAGTTAATGATAAAGTATGCCCAGTACTATACAGTAAAGTTAACATAGGTGTGCAGTATACTGCCCCTTCCCCATCTATTGGACCCAGCCTTTATCATTGGTGGTTAACTGTGCAACTTTTTTTTAATGAAGCTATCAAGAGATGGTTTGGACTATTGGCTCTCTTCTTCTTCATATATCTGATGATAGTAAGCAATGTTATCCTCAACTAGTCTTTGAACTTTTAAAATCTTGAAGTATTTGGACCCATCTTTTCAATACAAGAAAAAATCCACTCAAATGACAAAATGCTTCTGCCAACTATTTCAGTGTGAACCTTTTTAGTTCGACCTCAGATTTCGAAGCTTCCCTTTCTTCTGTAATCTTTGCAGCTAGAAGCTCAATTAGATCCTCATTAGACAGTTCTTCTCCATGAGACTCAATCACCTCCTCCACATCATTTTCATCCACTTATAGTTCCAATTCTTGTGCTAAATTTACAGTGTTGTTACTCACTTCTTTGAACATTTCATTTTTATCAAATCCATGAAAATTGGGAACAAACTGTGGGCACACTTTTCATACTCTCTTCTAAACTCTTTTCATACATGTTTCTGTTACATCTTCTCATGCCTTTCAAAATTGTTTACATAAAGTTGAATTTGCATAGTGTAAATTTACATAAAGCTGAACATACATACTGTATGTATAATGGAACAGCTTAACAAACACCAACAAAGAGGCCTTCAATCTCTCTCTTTCTCTCTCTCTCTCTTTCTCTCTTTAATCTCCTAGATATAAATAGCCCCATTGTGGGACAAAGGCTGTTGCTGCTCCAGGATGTTTGCAATGTCTGATGCCCCCAAAACTTAACTGCTAGGGTCTTTCTTATTATGGAAACAATCTGTGATCCCTCTCATACACATGCCTGGATTCAGATCCCAAATATCTATCATGCTCTAGAAAATCAGAATGCACATAATATCAGCACTTACCTCACAGAATTGCTGTGAGGATCAAATGAGGTATTGTAAAATGCTTAGCACAGTGTCTGGCCCATAGTAAGTATTTAATTAATGCTTGTTCTTTCTCCACTTCAGCAAACTATAAACCTACCTATTATCACCATCCAGCATTTTCTGTCATCTAGTCATTCCTCCTCCTGCCAAGGGGTGTGTGTGTGTGTGTGTGTGTGTATGCCCTCATTTCTTCTCTTTATCCCTCATCAAATGAATTTTCACTATACCTGGACATTAATTATAGATTCCTTCAGAAGCACTACATGAATATTTAACTAGAAACTTAAATCTACTCCACATTATCATTCTTCCCTACTTAGGAAAGTTAACTATCAAATCCACAACCATGCAAATCATACCACAAGATCTAAGCATAGTCTTTAAAACAAAACAGTCTGTGTCATCTCTGGGTTATTGGAGGAGAGGAGAGAGTGTGATTAAGCTAAAGAAAAGAAAGGATCTTGGCTAAGATGATGCTAAACCTCTTCCAGAAACAATTTGTTTCTTTAAATAAAGAAAGAAAAGTCAGAACTCAACTGATGAGACTTGACGAACATAAACCTCTCTTATTAATGAAATCCTGTCCAAGAAATTAAAAGGGGGTCAAATATTGACTCTGACAAGGAACAGTGCAGTTATCTCCAACCCTGACATGGAGAGCTCACCATAACTGAAGTCTGCTAGTGGCTTCAGGTTCATGTTCATAGCCCAACCAAAGAGTAGCAAGTATTTCCTCTTAATCCATAACTGGGGCAACTCACCTTATAAACATCATATGTTTTAACGATATTGTCAAATAGACTGTACAGGTCATTGAGGAGACCTACAACTTGCAGGGGGGTGCTGAGAGAACATAGCTTTGTAAATCCAACGATGTCAGAGAAAAAGATGGTCACAGAATCAAAATGTTCTGGTTCCACGGATCTCCCAGCTATAAGCTGCTCCCCAATAAAGCTGAAATAGGAATGGGGTGGGGGTGGGGGTGGGAAGAAATTGTCATAGAAATAACCTTTTCTTTATCTACCTCAAAACATACCATGCATCTTTAACCTTGGTGGTACTTTACACACATACATCTCCACATCACCTGTTATGTTAATGGATTTTTTTTCCTACTTAGAGTACTTGATAATTATGGAGAAAATCTGTCCATAGTCATCCTCTCTCAGCATGGATGTTTGAAAATGGAATTTTTAACAGAAGACCATAAAGAGGGAAAAGGCATTTACAAAAAAGCTTTCTCTCTAGGATAACACACTTTCTCCTGTTGATTGCATCCGTTTTGAAAGTAAAGGCTCATTTTCTGTAATGGAAGACAGTGTGACAATCCAGTCACATACAGGCACACAAATCAATATTTTTGTTTCAATCAATCACACACAAATCAATATTCCCAGTTTCTTTTGTTGGGGCAAGGAGGGCAAGAGATTTTAAATGAAAACATATAAAAGAAGACATCTTCGCTTACTGCTAATGTAACAAGTTCATATTTGACAAATAAATAAAAAAAAGAGGGTCTAGATTTGGATCATCCAGTTGGGAGTACATTCTGTAGAGCCCAGAACAATGAATACACATTTCTGTGGATGGAGCTATTAATGACTAGACTTATGAAGCTAGACTGCCATCTAGTGGTGCAGTTCATGCTGCTGGGTTTACCAGTATAGACTATATAAAATGGTACACTACAGAACACATAACTCATAAAATCATGGATTGAGTGCTACCAAGTGCCGATGATGACGATAATAACAATCTATATTTACATAGGACTTCAAAGTTAGAATTATTTCCCTGCAAAAACACTGTGAGATACAAACACTCTCAAGTTTTTAACCAGGGATTCTTTCTCTATATTCCTCTTTACACACTGCACCTTATTGAAGTCTTGGCTTCCTCATAGGGAAAGATATAGTAAGTGTTTCATATTTCATGAGGTCTCTTTAGTCCCACTTAGGTGAAAGTATTGATACTTGTGAAGGGCAAAATTCTGTACATGCTAAGCTTATAACTACCTGGGCAACATGGTAGACAGAAGCTTGTCTATCTTTTTCTTCTCAGACAGTAGCTGTGTGGTCCTCTCCTCCACCACCTCCTCCAAATGATTGGCATACTTTTCTAGCTTGTTCACCATGCTGTCCAGGATGCTCACATGGCTTTGAAAGGGTTCAAATAGTAAGATCTTTGCAAAGAAGCGAAACCAAGGTAGCAACAATACTATCCAAGAAACCATTTTCCCCTTTGGGGTTTTCCAAATATGGTAAGTACAATGCTACAGAATAACAATATGTATAGGCTTCAGTTTCTTCAATTATTAAATTACTTTTTAATCTCTATGGCCCCCTCCATCTCTACCACCCTATTTGCCAAGCCTTTCTTTGCTGGTATAGTAAACTCCAAGAATTTACCAATAATACTCTAACTGCTATTAGAGAATTTGTACTTCCATTCTGGAAATAGGTTCATTTCTGGTCATTTTCATGTAATGTGGAAAAACAGGTGAGTTCCATCTCTAAGCTCAGATCAGGGGGACTCATCCATTTTTTTCCATTATACTTATCTATGCAGACCACCTATATTTGGGATTCATATACTTTCAGATCTCAGACTTATAGAATGTTCCTCTTTATTTTTTTCTCAAACAACAAAAATCTATTACCTCTTTCTTCCAGTCTCACATCATGAGAAGAAAACCCTTGTAAAAATACTCATTGTCAAGTAAAACAAATTCCCATATTGGCCATATCCAAAAAATATACATAGCATTTTGCATCCTGAGTCCATCACCTCTCCATTAGGAGAAGGATAATGTACTTCATCTTCAATCCTCTGGAATTGTCACTGTTCATTTTGTCAATCAGAGTTCTTAACTATTTTAAAGTTTCTTGTCTTTATCATTTTTTTTTTAGATTACACATTTTTTTCTGATTTTATTTGTATCCCTAGCACATTGCCTGGCACATAATAAGCACTGAATAACTGCTTGTTGATTTAACTTATTCTCTTGGTTCTACTCAGATTTATAAAATATTAAAGCTGAAAGGGACCAGAGACACCAATTTTTAGAAGAGGAAACTAGGCCCAAACTTGTCTAAGGTAACAGGGAAAGTTAGTGGAAGAACCCAAATTAGAACCTAGGTCATCTAATTCCCAGCTCAGTACTCTTTCCACTGGTTCATTGCCTGCCTTGTGGCTATATCTAAGTGAGTTAAATAAAGCATAAATTTGAAGCAATTGCCCTCCAGCTAAGGAATCTTAGAACTTTGGATGTTTTAAATTAATTATTGATGTTCTAAGATAATAGGACAATAATAATTCCCTTGAACCCTTTTACCCAAAGCTCTACTAATGTTTAGTTTTTAGGATAACTCTGTAAAACACCAAACAAAAAGTTAGAATTGGACTCACCCTTCTGGGCTGGCTTCTCTTAAGATTCTCTTGACATGGGAGAATGTTGGTCTTTTCTCTGGAGACTCATCCCAGCAAGTCCTCAACATGGTTACAACTTTCTCACTACACTTTTCCTTTGACAGCTTTGGTCTCAGGGGAACAGCAGCAGTAGGGTCTTTGATTGTATTGATGATTTCTGCAATTCAGTTTGGGTATGGATACTTGTAAATCTTGAGAGTTTACTACCTTACTTTAAATGATTTGTTAACTAAATGACACTAATCATTAGATCTGCTAGAAATTGGAGGATGAGCACCCCAAACATTTCATCTCTGCTTTTATCATCAGATAGGACTAGGGATTCATCTCTCCTGCCTCCACAGGAATCCTCTTGCCCCTCACTTTCCACTTGGTACTCAATGAGGAATAAAATAACATTAGCATTTCCACTGTAAAGGGAATGACAATGTATCGCCCTTTCAAAAATCGGTCAATGTAAGTTTATGGTTACCTAGGCTGAGGCTATCTTTGTTAGCCACCATTCCCATTCCTTTCATGCCCATCCATATTAGCCACATCTCTCCAATGCTGTATACTACCCTTATATTGTGTCCACTGGAACCGATATTCTGTGGTAAAAAAAAAAAATTATCTTTCCTTTCAGATTTGTGTCCTCTGCCAAAAAATTATTTTGTACGTATTTTCTATTTTATTTTCGATGTACATGTTGTTTCCTTCCTATAGAATGTAAGTTCTTTGAAGGCAGGACGATTTTGTTTTTGTCTTATTATACTGTACTATACTATACCATACTATACCATACTACACTATACTATACTATACTATGCTATGCTATACTATACTATTATGATATGATACTATACTATACTGTATCTAGTATAGTGCCTGCCATACGTTCATGATTAATTAATTCTTGTTGAATTTATTTCACTACTTAAAAGGCAACTCCTGACAATGAAGGAATCTTTTGTGAGCAATAACAAACTCCTCATTTCTCTCTTTTGAAAGTTCAATATCTAGGGCAGCTAGGTGGCGTAGTGGATAAAGCACCGGTCCTGGATTCAGAAAGACCTGAGTTCAAATTCGGCCTCAGACACATAATACTTACTAGCTGTGGGACCCTGGGCAAGTCACTTAACCCCCATTGCCCAACCAAAAACAAAACAAAAAAACAAAAAAACAAAAAAAAAGAAAGTTCAATTTCTGTACATTGTTTTATATTGCATTGAAACGCACCAATATAAAAGTTCAGGAGTTTAGAGGCATGTTGCACTGAAATATCATTTTATTCATTATAGCACTTTATATGTACCATCCTATACACAAATTTACTTAAGAAAAAATGTTGCCATATTCTATTTATCTCAGCTTCCTTCCCTTCTTCAATTGTTAACTCCCACAAGCAATTTATTAAGTATTCTAACTGATAGCACATTGGGATGAAAATATTATTTTCAGAAAAATGCATCCATTAATGGAATAAAATGTATCTGAAACAATGGTCCAGCAGGTAATTATGTTTCACTCACACTGTAACAGGAAGAATTTTAGATGAAACCATCTATTGTTGCCTTGAAGATAATAACTAATACAGATCAAGAAAAGAAACAATTATTCCATGATCATTTCTTCTACTGTCTTATGCTCAGTTCTATTACATGAAGTGAAACAAAAAATAAAAATTTGAGAGCAAAATCACACCAAGGGTCTAAAATGTCTCAGGAAGTCCATTATTATCTGGGGATGTTTAACCGACTAGAGAGCACTCATGACTTCTTCCTGAAATTGTCTTTAATGGTTAAGTGTGCAGCAATTAATTTTTATTTATTTGACTTTATTTTGGTCACACTTAAAGAGGTCTATTATCTAAGCTGCCCTGTGGGGGAGTGGAAACACTTAGAGGAAAGTGTGAATTTGGTCATAAATAATCTCTGTATCCTATTCACCATTAAACTAAAACAAACAGATTTCTCTCCTCTCTTACTTCACCAACTCCCTGGCTTTCAATAATAAAACTGAGCCTTTTGTTGAGTTTAACCAGAGAAGAATGAGTGTGTGTGTGTGTGTGTGTGTGTGTGTGTGTGTGCGCACATGCCTATGTTTATGTAGAATAAAAGAATACTAGAACTAGGAAGAACTTTAAAAGTCATCTAGAGCCTAATTTCTTTTTTGAAATGAGAAAACTGATGTGTCCAAATGGTTGGAATGGTTTAACCAAGTTCATATAGTGAATTACCAGTAACAACTTATTTTCTAAAACCAAATTTCAATGGCTTTTTATTAGTCTTGTTTCCATTTCCCTTAATGAAGATAAAGCTATTTAAATTTAGATATGTGAAATTGGCTTTAAAGTAGAATGAGAGCTTCCTGAGTTGAAAACTTCTTTGGTTACACTTTCTCCATACTTCAGTGGATCTGTGAAGATTACAACTCATGCATACCTTCTCATATTATATGATTCTTATAGATGTCTTCCTGTAAATCCTCCATGGGGGTCAACCCAATATACACCGGGTTTTCTCTTAGTCTCTTGACATTGAACGTATACCAATATGGCACACGAACCTTCCATAGGTTAGCCCTTGCTCTCACATTATGATGGACCCACCTGTGGGTCTTGTCACATACACAGCTGATGAAATATTTTATGCCACTTTTGCAGAATTTTTGTGGTAGTATATTGCAACCTACACATATCTACTGTGTACTGCTTACCCACACATTTGATTTTTTTTTTTTTGGAGACTTCCCTTTACAATGGAAATGGTATTCCATGACTTGCAATCATATAGAATCACCTGAAGGATATGAATATTAAAAGATAGGTCTTTGTTTCAGGGAGAAGACATAGTTTGTTTTTTTCTCAATGAAAATCCAGCACACTCCTTCTCTTATTCAATACTGAGCCTACCTAATCTATCCATCTAACTTATTCATTGATCTAGTCTCACTTTAATCTTTATAAGTCCTGGGGATGATATGAATTAGTTGGATCTCTTGCCAAGGTTTCAATAAATTTATTCACACTACCATTGTTTTTTGTAACTGTTTTATGATGTGATACCATATATATAATGTTCCACCATGATCCTAAACAAGTTTATAATGTAAATATATCTTCTGTATAACTGCCATATCCCTTCCCTTTATGGAGAAATCAAATGTTGGCTGAGTGAAGCAGTTTCTAGACTCTTATCTTTCTTATTGAAGCAACTGATTTATGTTAAACTTTCTTAGGAAATGGAAACGTGTCAATGTTTGTTCTATAATCCATTCGCCATTTGGGGTGTTTGCTTACATAGGTCAATCTTGAGTAAGTTCAATTGTGTGTCATATCTTCTAATTTAGATTCTTTCTGCTAATTTAGTGTTGATTTCTATCTTAAATCAAGGATCTGATTGTATATAGTTAACAGGAACTTATTAAGCACCAGTTACTACATTAAGCACTAGAGATTCAAATAAAAACAAAAACATTCTTTGCAGTCAAGGAGCTCATACTCTAATGAAAGACTGTATGCAAATAACTATGTACATGTAAGATATAGAAATGGCACATTAGAGGTATTCTTAGAGGGATAGCAGTAGAATGGAGTAAAATGGGGAAAGGCTTCTTGAAAATGGTGGGATTTTAGCTGAGACTTGAAGGAATCCAGGGAAGCCAGAAGGCAGAGACAGGAAGGAGAGCATTCTAGACACAAGGTATCACTAGTGAAAAGGCACAAAGACTGGAGATAGAATGTCCTCAGTGAGGAACAGCAAGGAGGCTAGCATCACTGGATCACAGAGTAAGTGAAGGGGAGGAAAGTTCAATAAAACTGGAAAGGTCAGAAGGACCCAGATCATGAAGGACTTTAAAAGCCAAAAAAATGATTGTATAGTTCCTCCTGGGGGTAATTGGAAATCATTAGAGTTTATTAGGTAAAGAGACGACATAGTCAAACACTTTAGGAAGACCACTTTGGCAGCCTGGAGGAGGATAGACTAAATTGGGAAAACAATTGAGGCAAGGAGGCCAACCAGAACACTATTGTGTTAGTCTAGGTATAAAGTAAAGAGCCTGCACCTAGGTGGCAATTTCATTAGAGCAGGGACGGAATGTACCATCAGGGCAGCCTAGGTAGTCGAGTAGATTGTCAGGGAAACCTGAGTTCACATCCTCCCTTAGACATTTACTAGTTTTGTGACCCTAGGTAAGTCATTTGACCTCTCTCAGCCTCAGTTTCCTTATTTGTAAAATAAAAATAATAATAGTACTTACATCTAAGGATTATTGTGAGTACCAAATGAGATAACACATGTAATGCATTCAGCAAACCTTAAAGTGTTATACAAATATTAGCTTTTTAATAGAGAGTTCTTATCACAATAGCTGGGGTTAGGGCTTGTGTTTATTGAACACTAAAATATTAAATTACATATGTTGCTGTGTGTTATAAACCTAGTCTCTTCCACTGATCAATCTCTTTGTTAATACACCAAACTGTTTTAATAATAACTCATTGGTAGCATATTTTGAGATCTGGAGCTGTTAGACTCCCTTCATTCCCATTACTTTTCATTATTTCACTTGAGATTCTTGACTTTTCTTCTACCACATGAATTTTGTTATTTCTGTTTTTAGTTTTGTAAAGTAGTCCTTTGTTTCATTAGTGAGGCATTGAATAAAGTAAATCAATTGAGGTAATATTGTCATTTTATTATATTGACTTATCTGACTCATGGACAATTAATGTTTTTTTCAATTATTTACATCTGCCTTTATTTCTGTAAATAGTTGTTTATAGTTGTATTTATATCATTTTTATGAAAGAATTTCATAGACTCATTTTCCTCAAGATGAATCTCAGGCACCATCTTCTGCATGAAGCCTTTCCTGATTCACTTAACTGCTAGTATCATCCCTCCCAAACTACTTCCAAACTGTGTATATCTATTAACTTTATATTTATGATATATACATATATATAAATAAAATGTGTACCTATTGTTTCCTTCAGTAGAAAGGTGAGCTTCTTGCAAGTAGGGATTATTTCATTCTTTGTACTTTTATGCCTAGCACTTAGTAGAGTCTCTGGTACTTAGTACATACTGGGTACCAAGTACCAGTGCAGGTACATAGTAGGTACTTTAAAATCACTTGTTGATTGATTAAAACAAAGAAGAGGAAAGAAGAGGAGGATATTAAATTCAAAAAACATTTAATATCCTATTTTATGCAAAATATTTTGTGGGAAGATGTAAAGTTTAGATAACCATATCACGAACTTTAAATTATTAATCATAATCACATTTTAAACTTTAACTTGTAAACTTTAAATTGCTTCCCTCACAATAATTCTATAAGGTAAATGATGAAAATATTATTATTCCTATTTTATAAATGAAAAAACTGAAGCAAAATTAAGTGACTTGCTCTGGGTCACACAACTCATAATGGTTAAAAAATCTAATGGCTCCAAGTCTAATTCTCTTTTTCAAAACACTGTATTTCTTTTATGACCTAGTAGGGTGATGTGACATGTCCCTAAATAACTAAATATAAAATCATACATGATAAGAGAATGGAGGGCAGAAGTTAAAATTGGGGTAGGGGTGGGGGAAGAGGATCATGCTCAGATTCCAGTGAGTATGGATAGACTAAACTAGATAATCTTTACCGCCTCTTCTACTTCTAAATGCTATGATCTTAGAAGGAGGTAGCATTTGAGTTGGACTTTAAAAGGATGGAAAGGGAAAGAGGGACATAAAAAGAGATGGATTGGTGGCTTACAGTAGCATAGGAGTAGTATGAGAATACATCTGTTCCCTACTTTCAGATCTGCTGATTGGGTTAAAGTGCTGTACTTTGGGAGCTAATGGTTGTGTAAATTCAATTCACTTCTTCCTATCTACTCACAGTATGTTCCTTCACTTTTGATTGCCTGGTTAAATATTTTAAAAGGCAAACCAGTCAAACAATAGCCTAGGTACCCAGAGATGGGAGAAATAAAAGCCAAGAAAACAGACAAGCTTTACCTTCAGCCTCCTTGTTCAGGTCTTCAAAGGGCCCACATAGATTGTTGTAAATTATTTCCCTCATTAAGATAGCAAAACTATAAACATCTCCTTTCTGGGTGCCGTGAGCTGGAGGCTCCTCCAACCGTAGCAGCTCTGGGGCCATCCAGTAGAGTTCTGCAAGCCAAAAAGGAAATCATCATGGAATGGTTTACATACTGATTCTGCAGCCAAATTTTCTTGAGGAAAATATAATAGGACAAAGGGGATCTGGCAAAAAAGAAAAATAACTCCATACCACAACTTAAAATACATTAAGGGAAGCAACTAGTTGTTCATATCACCTATCCCATGATGTCTCCCACATCTCCCAAGAATTCCACACTACCCTCCAAAAGCCACATATGACCATCTCATCTTCAACTCTTTTTGACCCTCACACTCCTTCACCCCAAATCCACCAGAGGAATTTGCTTGTGGAACTCATTAGGTCTTGGTGATGAGATGGAACAAATCTAAAAGAGAATGATTAGAATGTCAAGAGGAATAAAGAACATGTCATGTGAAAATTGGTCAAAAGAACTGAAGATTTTTAGCCTATACAAAAGAAGAGGAGTCATAATAGTTGCCTTCAACATTTGAAAGGCTGTCACATGGAGAAGGAATTGCACTCATTCTGCTTAACCCTAGAGGACAAATCCAGCAACAACAGGTTGATGGGAGGCATATTAGATTTGCAATAAGGAAAAGCTTTTTCAATAATTAGAGCTATCCAAAAGTATCATGGGATACCTTAGGAGGGAGCAGATTCTCTTTCATTAGTAGTCTTCAAGTAAAAGCTGAATAAACACTTATTAGGTAAGTGACGTGGTACAATGGAAAGAGCATTGAGAGCTGAGTTCAAACCCCGGTTCCATATCTGGATAACTTTGATTAAGCAACCGCTTCTCTGGACCTCATTTTCCTTCTCTGCCAAATCTGTGAGGGGGAGGGGTTGGACTAGGTGACCTCTAAATTTCCAAATAGCTGGGCATGTCCTGGAGCCCCTCACACCACCAAATCAGAAGAGCTTGAAGAGACCTTAGAGGTCATCTAGTCCAAGTGCCTCATTTGGAGGAGAAAACTGGGTCTTCATTGGATTGGGGAGGTTAGGTTACTTGCCAAAGATCAAAGGGCTAGCAAATGATAAAGGATTAGAACCCAGGGTTTCTAACTCCTAGTCTAGGATTCTTTTGACAACACTGTGCAATTTTCCACACGTGCCTTTCATACTACACTTTGATGGCTTATTTTTGGAGTGTCATTTTATACTTATTTCACCTGTACAAAAATGCTGGGGATGGAAGGGCAGAGATAAATAATGTAATTTCCTCCTATTATGCATCCTTAGGAAAGGTCCTCATTGTAAAAACTCCTGAAAAAGTCCCTTCAAAGTCACCCCATGACTCCCCAGCAGACAGCAACATTACCCTCCAACAAAGGAACTCCTCAGTGCCCCTCAAAAAATATTTAGAGAATAATTCAGAGAGTAAGAGCTGAAAATTACCTAATCCAAATCCATCGTTTTCCAGAGGAGGACACTGAGGTACAAAGAGATGAATTTACTTGCTCAAAGTCACCCAACTGTTAGTGACAGAGATGAGATAAGAACTGAATCTCCTGACTCCCAGTCCAGGGAATCTTCTATACAACAAACTCATTTGCATTTAGAGAAGGCCATTTTCCTTATCCTGGTGAGAACAGCCACATGGCAGCCAACTCAAATCAAACAAAAAGAAAAGGCACATGTTTACACGTGAACAAGTGTACATACATGTGTGTCTTCTAGAAAGCAGAGATAGGAGAAAAGAACATCCTATTACCACTCTGAAGCCATAGGATGCAGAAATTCTGTAAATTACCTGAGTAGTCAGTATTTCCTCTACTCTTTGGTCTAGACTTTCTTCCATGCTTCAGTTCCCAAAGTCCAAATCCAGACAGCTTCACCTGCATTATACTATCAACTAAACAGTTGGAAGGTTTCAGGTTGCCATGGGAGTTCAATGGGCTTTTATGAAGAAACAGCATGCCCTGGGGGGGAAGAAATAAAACATGATCAATTGTACCAAAGCAACCTTTCCCAGAATATGACAGAGGAAATACAAAAAGACAATATATAAATGATTAAGGAGAGAAACGGAAAGGGACATTATTGGGCATTCATTCAACAGTCATTTATTCAATGCCTATCATAAAGAAATACTCCATTAGGCATGACAAAGGATATAAAAGAAACTGAAAAGAGTATCCCTGTCCTAAAGAAGATTCCAATCCCCTGAGGAAGACAAAAAATGAAGCAACAAGACATCATGGCACAGTGGATTGTGTGCTGAATTTGGATTAAAGAAGATCTGAAATCATATCCTGCTTCTGGTACTAAGTCATCATGGGCAAATGACTTAACATCTCTTAATCTGTTTCCTATTCTGTAAAATTTGGACAAAATAAATGTGGTACCTGTCCCACAGGTTTGTTGTGTAGCTCAAATGATGTAATTGACATAAAGCACATTTTAGTGTTCTATAAATGTCATTGTTTTAATTGCCAAAAATGTTAACAGGCAGTGTCATCAAATAATAAAATCACTGGACTTGAAAGTCAGAGACCTAAGTTCAAGTCTCTTATTAACTACATGACAGAATGTCTATTTTTTTTTCTTCTGTGAAATGAAGATGATAATAATACTTGGACTTTTTTCTATGTCACAAAGGTATTTTAAGGTCTGAATTCAATTCAACATGTGGTCATTAAGTGCTCATTCTGCACAAAGCAAAGGCAAAGACAAAACAAGAGTTCTTGTCCTCCAATAGCATACATCATACTGGGGGAATACATAAATAGGTTTTATATATGTATGTATGTACACATATACACATATGTGTATATTATATTTCTATATACATATGTGTGCATAGATATACATATGTATTATATTTGTATATATGTGTGTACATATGATATTGATAGAGATTATGTTTTCATATACATGGTATTTATATGTGCATATGGATAGATCTATACCCATGAGGCCCCCAGCCTAATCCCCACCTACCACTGGGTGCTAGATTGTAGGGCTGACACAAACCAACAACAGACCCCTTAAGTCAAAGGCCCCAGCCTGGCATCTCCATTCCCAACCCTTTGATGAACAGAGTTACCAACTACAATCCTTTCAGTAAAAGAGAGAAACACTAAGAATTACCAGTTGCTCTGCCACTGAATTCCGAGGACCATTAGGTCTTATCATCTGTCCTGCTGTTGTGCCCTCTAGAATCTTGAGAACTGCTATCTACCATGCCATGGAACTTTAAGACCCCTGGGCCTTGGCATTCTCCTTGCAGCTGAATTCTTACATTTCTATTGTCTCTCACAAATAGAATGTGAACTCTTTGAGAGCAGAAATGCTCAAGTTTTTATTTGTATTTCCAGTGCTTAGCAAAAAGTAAACATTTAATAAATGCATTTGTATTCTATTAGTGAGTGTACCACAAAGAATAGAAGTAAATACCACAATTTCATGAGAAGGGAGACCACTAACAACTGAAAGGATTGGGAAAAAACCCTCAGTCTTATGTACGAAGTCACCCGTGAGCTGAACCTTGAAGGGAATTAAACATTTCAAGACATGGAGATGAAGAGGCACAGTATTAGAGACAAAGAGAGTCTATGAGAAAGAGAAGTAGAATATCAAATGTCACAAACAGTGTATGGTGAATGGTTTGGTTAGCTGGACTCCAGAATGCATGAGGTAATGGTTTGAGAGGGATTTCAGAGTTGAGATAATGTAAGACAAACAATTATGGGTGATAAAAAGATCTAGGGTTTGAATATCTCTATGTGTAGCTAGCTGAAATGGAATGAAGGTGCAAATCATAAGAATTAGAAGGTTGATGAGTTGGGAGACAAGGATTTCAGAGGGATACCAACATATTTGACAGAGGCAAGAGTAATGGTCAAAGAGAAACTAGAATGGGGCAGCTAGGTAGTACAGTGGATAGAGCACCAG